GGTAGATGGGAGAGAGGTTTTTCCCTAAGGGGAGTGTTTTTCATCCGTGCGGTAGGCCAGACGCAATTACTTATCTTTCGCCGGTAGGGGCTGCTGCTCACTCGTTCTGGGTGGCCGAGTAGACTTTCTGCCTCTGGGTCTCTCATGGTGCAGAATATGCCTCCCGAGCACCACCACTTGCCTGCCTCACCACTCACGCATGAGCTGATCAGGCCTGAAGGGCGCAGCCTTTCGCCAGGTCAGGTCTGGCAACTCCTCTCTGCTTCCAAACCATTTCTCCCTCCCCCTTCCACTCAGTCTGATTCCTCAACTTTGTCTTAGATGTTCAGGGCTCCTAAATTGTCATATATAATCGATTAACTTGTTTTGGGTCTTTGTTGTAAGAGGGTCCACTGGAAGCGTCTGACTACTCTGCCATCTTGGCCCCGCCTCCCCTTTCTTGACTTTAAACCATGCAGTATCCCCTTGTTCTGTTCAAACGACTACCTCTTCTTCTATGTACAGGTTCCTCATGGCCACAATTAAGTGTTCTGGAATTCCCATTCTTTGCAGTCCTATCCATAATTTGTTATGCTTCACACAGTCAAATGCCTTTGCATAGTCAATAAAACACAGGTAAATATATTCCTGGTATTCTGTGCTTTCAGCCAGGATCCATCTGACATCAGCAATGATATCCCTGGTTCCATGTCCTCTTCTGAATCTGGCTTGAATTTCTGGCAGTTCCCTGTCAATGTACTGTTGGAAGTACTTTTGAATGATCTTCAACAAAATATTACTTGGATGTGATATTAATGATATTGCTGGATAATTTCCACATTCTGTTGGATCACCTTTTTTTTGGAATAGGCATAAATATGAGTCTCTTCCAGTCAGTTGGCCAGATAGCTGTCTTCCATATTTCTTGGCATAGATGAGTGAACACTTCCAGCACTGCATCTGTTTGTTGAAACATCTCAGTTGGTATTCTGTCACTTCTTGGAGTTTTATTTTTCGCAAATGCTTTCAGTGTATCTTGGACCTCTTCCTTCAGTAGACCTTTTCCTTCAGTACCATCAGTTCTTGATGATATGCTACTTCTGAAATGGTTGAATGCCCACCAGTTCTTTTTGGTATCGTGACTCTGTGTATTCTTTCCATCTTCTTTTGATGCTTCCTGCTTCATTCGATATTTTGCCCATAAAATCCTTCACTATTATAAGCCTTGAATTTTTTCTTCAGTTCTTTCAGCTTGAGAAATACTGAGCATGTTTTTCCTTTTTGGTTTTCTTACTCCAAGTCTTTGCACATACTTTATAAGACTTTGTCTTGTTGAGCTGCCCTTTGAAATCTGTTCAACTGTTTTACTTCATCATTTCTTCTGTCGTTTTAGCTACTCGACATTCAAGAGCAAGTTTCAGAGTCTCTTCTGACATCCATTGTGGTGTTTTCTTTCTTTCTGTCTTTTTAATGATCCCTTGCTTTCTTCAGGTATGATGTCCTTGATATCATTCTGCAACTCATCTGGTCTTCAGTTACTAGTGTTCAGTGCATCAAATCTTTTCTTGAGATGGTCTCTAAATTCAAATGGGTTGTACTCAGGGTCGTGTTTCGGCTCTCGTGGACTGGTTCTAATTTTCTTCAGCTTCAACTTGAACTTCCATATGAGCAGTTGTTGGGCTGTTCCGCAGTCGGCCCCTGGCCTTGTTCTGACTGATGATATTGAGCTTTTCCATTGTCTCTGTGCAGATGCAGTCGGTTTGATTCCTGTGTATCCATCTGGTGAGGTCCACATGTATAGTCGCCATTTATGTTGTTGAAAACAGGTATTTGCAATGAAGAAGTCATTGGTCTTGCAAAATTCTATCATGCCATTTCCAGCATCGTTTCTATCACTGCGGCCATATTTTCCAACTACCAGTCCTTCATTGTTTGCAGCTTTCGCATTCTCATCACCAGTAATTATCAATGCATCTCAATTGCATGTTTGATCAATTTCAGACTGCAGAAGTTGGCAAAAACCTTAAATTTCTTCATCTTTGGCCTTAATGGTTAAGGCATACATTTGAATAATAGTCATAGTTACTGGTCTTCCTTGTAAGAGTATGGATATTATCCTATCACTAACATCGTTGTACTTCAGGATTGTTGTTGTTGTTGTTGTTGTTGTTGTTAGGTGCCATCAAGTTGGTTCCGACTCATAGTGATCCTATGTACAACAGAGCAAAACACTGCCCGGTCCTTCGCCATCCTCACTATCCATCGCTGTCATGCTTGAGCCCATTGTTGCAGCCACTGTGTCAGTCCAACTCGTTGAGGGTCTTCCTCTTTTTCACTGGCCCTCTACTTTACCAAGCATGGTGTCCTTCTCCAGGTTCTGATCCCTCCTGATAACGTGTCCAAAGTATGTGAGACGAGGTCTGGCCATCCTTGCTTCTAAGGAGCATTCTGGCTGTACTTCTTCCAAGACAGATTTGTTCATTCTTCTGGCAGTCCATGGTATATTCATTCAATATTCTTCGCCAACACCTTAATTCAAAGGCATCAATTCTTCTTTAGTCTTCCTTATTCATTGTCCAGCTTACGCATGCATATGAGGTGATTGAAAACACTGTGGCTTGAAACCCCCACACATCTGTCAGTTTGTCGTACCGTGGGGGCTTCTGTTGCTGTGATGCTGGAAGCTATGCCACTGGTATTCAAATACCAGCGCAGTCACCCATGGTGGACAGGTTTCAACTGAGCTTCCAGACTGACAGACTAAGAAGAAGGACCTGGTGGTTTACTTCTGAGAAGAATTAGCCAGTGAAAACTTTATGAACTTTAGGATAGAACTTGAAATGTTCTTTTGGGCAATGAATGCAGTACCATTCCTGTTCAATTTGTCCTTCCTGGCATAGTAGACCATATGATTGTCTGATTCAAAACGGCCAATACCAGTCCATTTCAGCTCACTAATGCCTAGGATGTCAGTGTGTATGCGTTCCATTTCATTTTTGACGATTTCCGGTTTTCCTAGATTCATACCTCATATATTCCACATTACTGATATTAACAGATGTTTGCAGCTGCTGCTTCTCAGTTTTGAGTCCTCAAAATGAGGATTATTGATAATGTATATAAATCATGTACTCCAGGGATTGTTGTCATTGGGTGCCTTCGAGTAGATTTAAACTCATAGCAACACCATATGACAGAGAAGAACTGCCCCATGGGGTTTTCTAGGCTGTAATCTTTACGGGAGCAGATTGCCAAGTCTTTGTGCCGTGGAGCTGCTGGGTGGAATCAAACCACAAACCTTAACCGCTTAACTATTGTGCCACCTAGGCTCCATATTCCGGGGACTGGCACATAGAAAGCACTCAATAATTAAATAGCTATTTTTTATTATAAAACAACTGGAAAGCATTAAAACAGAGTTTTAAAGTAAATATTGAAAATGCTGCAGGAATTCAAGGAAGATAAAAATTAACATGAATCAGAGTATTAAGGATGTCTCCATGGAAGAAAGAGAAACTGACCCAAACTTTAGCATGGATTTTGTTAGGAGATATTCTGAGTAGGTGCTAAGATGAGTGAAAATTCAGGAACGGATTTGAATATAGTGTGGTGGTACAGTGAAGATATTCGTATTCAAATAAAATATTGTTACAGGCATGAAATTATTTGGATTTTTTTTTTTTATTTGTTTGTTTGGTTTCATTTTCAGAAAATTTAATATATTTTTCCACTCTTAGAAAACTGAACCCTGTAGACATTACAAGACTGCTAGTTACATGGTACCATCCTTGCTTACTGTGGTACCCTCGATTGATGACAGTTCTTGCATTTGTGCCATCAGGTTTTACCACCATTGAGGGATGTGACAAATCGACCTGAAGTTGGTTCAACTGTGAGAAATAAGCTGGTGCGCCTCATGACACATGTTGACCTTGGAGTCAAGCAAATTGCTGCTGAATTCCTTTTTGTCCTTTGCAAAGAGAGAGGTAAGTTAAACTGTTTTCTCTCTGCTTTTTTATCTTTCTGAGGGAATTTGAGAAATTTACCTATTAGTAATAGCCATCTCATTCCAGTCTTTTCAGAAGGGACGAGGAGATAATAAAAATTAATAATTTGAAAGCATTTTCTGTGTACTTCTGAATTCAGTGAGACCTGCAAACAGGTACGCTACCAAACACACTCACATTCAGACTTTGCCTTCTATATCTGTAACCCAGACTCTTTAATCTTGGTGTTTCAGGGCATGGAGTCATTCTGAAAAATTTGCTTAAGTAATTCAGTTACTACTATTTTGATAACAAGGCAGAGGCCTGGGTTAGTTTCCCTGTTTAATTCCTCATAGAATTAAAGCTATAGGAGTTTTTGTTTCATCACTAATCAATAAATAGTTATTGAATGTGAGCTATATAATATATTGGAAGTATAAAAATGCATAAGATATCCTCCTTACCCTTGACTAAGGGTAAGATAGTGGTAGCAACAGATTCTAAAAAATAACTGTATTACAATGAAGTAAATACTATTGTATATGTATATATAAAGTACTTTTCTTCTGAGATAGAGCTAACAACTAAAAATTATATGGATTATTTGGTCTACAAAAGGCATGTGCTCCAAACAAGGAGCTTTGACTACGTTATTCAGATATTCTCCTCACCTATTTCTTTCTTCACCTCCTAGTTTATAAATATACTTGATGTTCCCATCTAAGAAGATTTTATATTCTCCTTTTGAAAAGTACCCAGTTTTGTGAAATGAATTTGGAGATAAAAGTCTACTCACTTCTCTCAGAAATCTTAAATCAGTTCAATTCTTTAAGCTTCCTTCCTGACTTTTTGATACAGCCACTTTAGTTCCTGTTAAGACGGGATGTTAGCAACATAATTTAATCGTTTTAATAAATGATGATGATAAACATAGTTATTCTGTATTGAGAGGCATCATGTGCCTGACATTCTATATATAATCTCATTTAATTCTCATAGGAACTCTAAGATAAATATTAGTATAATTTCTGTTTCATAAATGAGGCAACCTGGCACTTGAGAGCCTTTCAGTAACTTATCCAGGGTCACACAGCTGCTTAGGGCAGGGCCAGAATTTGAGTCCTATCGTCTTTCCATTCTGTCATATTGCCTCTCATACTAATTTTCTTCAGCTATTATCATAGACTAGTTTACTTAGCCTCTGTTCTTTTAAACAATTCAATTCTTCTTTCATGATTTTGAAAAAAGAGATTGAGTTAGCATTTTGGAATTAAGTGATCAGCATAGTGTTTGCATATAGTAAGTTATCTGTATATTGGCTGAATTAAATTGATTGTTCTGAGGTCAGAAATCAGCTGTTTTGTAAAGTGGAATTGCATATGTATATATATAAATCTAAACTATACACGTGTATATCTATGCATTGAAAAAAAGGTTAGTAAAAATATACACTAAAGTGTACCATTGGTTACCTCTGAGTAATATGATTACTGGTGATTTTTTTTAACTTCTTTACATTTTACAATTTTTCTTCAATGAATATAATTTGTGTGTACTTTTAAAAACATTTTAAAAGGGGAGAAAGTAAAGTTTATTTCTTCTGTAATTACATATCTAAGCAGAATCACCTTATTAATGAGTTAGAAGTATCATAGCAAATATGGTGTGTGTATTTATAATGAATTTTGTTAGTGTTTTCTTCATTTGAAATGGTTTACCTTGTTCCTCCTTGGACCCAGTACTGAGCCCAAAGCCAACCTACATTTATAAAGTTTTTTTTTTTTTTTTCATTCAACCTTTGAAAATTCTGTATAAAATCATCTGCTTTTCCTTCCAGTTTGATTATAAGTTTAGTAGGTGTGTTCTTCTGGAATAAAAATTTATTCTTTCAGCAAATACTTCTTGAACTAGACCCTGAGAATACAGAAAGATAAACCAAGTCTCTGCTCTCATATTATTTACTTTCTCATGCAAGGGTCCCAGACTCAAATACCTGTAGCAGACAGGCTGGTAATAAAAGTAAGTCAAGTGGACTGGACATAAGATGATAAATGAAAACTGACACTTAGCTCATTGTTGGAGAGACAGTGGGTTGGGGTAGAGGTCAGTGGGACTGTAATGAACTGGAAAGAGGAAGGTAGCTGCTATTTAGCTCCAGTTGATTGTTCCCATGAAGGAACACATGTCCAATGATACCAGATCTTGCAAGTTTTTCAAGAGAAGCCAGGAATCTGGATTTTTTACATTAAGTCTCCCCATTAAACCCATTGCCGTTGAGTTGATTCCAATTCATAGAGACCCTATAGGACAGAGTAGAACTGCCCCATAGGGTTTCCAGGGAGCGGCTGGTGGATTCAAACTGCCGACCTTTTGGTTAGCAGGCATAGCTCCCAACCACTGGCCCACCAGGGCTCCCTTAAGTCTCCCAGTTTTTTAAATGTTATCAACAAATTTAAATTTAAAACCTTCTGGCCAAAAATGTGTGTGTGTGTGTGTGTGTGTGTGTGTGTATAATAAATATAAAAATATAAATGTGAACTGCAGCGTGTGTGTGTGTGTACACATGTGTGCACACTGCAGTCCATATTCAACTCATGGATCATCACATTGCAACCTCTATTCATTGGTCATCAGATTGCAGCCTGTTTTAGCAGCTCAGAAGCTAAATGATGGATTTGGGGTGCAAACTATATCAAAATGAAATAAATTTCAAATAATTTGTAAGAGTGGCTGAACTTCTGCTTAAAAACGTGCAAAGCTAAGTTTGAAGGTAAAGGGACCATGATCAAGTCTCGAAGTCAGACCACCAAGTGAAGACAAGTAGCAGCCAAATTAGGTTAGGAACATAGACTAGATTCACAAGGAAAATGGAAATGAGGTGAAATACAAAGGGCAAAATTTTATGGTAGAGTAGGCGCAGAAAAAACCATCCAGGTATCTTAAATATCCATCTACGTCTCCCACTGATAGTGGCCTACAGGTTAACATTTGCTTATGCTACCAACTTGTTCTTTTGAGCCCTGGCATAACTAAACCTTTATTACCTGCTCTGAAAATTGTGTACTTTCTACAGAGGGCTTAAAGATTGGCCTTATGTAATTTAAACAGAAGAAAATGATTTGTGAAATAATTCCCTGCCTCAAAGGGTTTATTTTGTTTTTGTTTTTCCTTTTAACACATTCATTAATTCCCACTATATGTTGAGCATTGTGGTAGGGATGGAATTACGGAGATATAAAAGGCTTGAACTCCCTCAGCACATAGCCCCACACCTATAAACTTACTTAAGTTTCCTTCATTTCAGTCTCAGAGAAGTAGGTGTCTGTCTAGCTCAGAGCCAAATAGTCTCCCTTTCCAGCTGATCTTGCCTCTTCCTGTCTTCTCAGAAGCCTTGCTCGTTCAGTTGTTACCTTTTATTCTTTTGCTCTTTTAACTCTCCCTATGTACTTCCTTGTTAGCATCTTCGAAGACTAATGTGTTTTTCTTTTCAGTATCCTTAACTTCCCATTCAGTCTTCAGCTCACTGCGATTCAGGGTTTCCACTACCATTCCCCGCCCCCAAGATTCCACTGAAAATGCTCTCAGTGAAATCACAAATTGCCTAGTTTTCAAAAGCAATGGATCCTTTTTAATTTTTATCTTACCACATCTCCCGTAGCAGTTGACACTATTGACCGCTCTCTTCCTGACTTGCTCTCCTGTCTTTGTTTCTTACATCACGCACTGCTAGCTTCTCTTAAAATTATTTTCCTTAACTGTTAAAATAGCTTTCTAAGCTATTAGTAAACTATTAAAATAGATCTATTTCTAATCAGATTTTCTTCAGTCTCTCTTCCACATGGCTAACAGAGGGATAGCTCTAAAACACAAATATATTCTTGTCATTCCCCCATGTAAAACTTTCAATGACTCCTTGTCACTTACATGGTAAAATTCAAGTTTTACCTCCCTGGCCTACCTCTGTAACCTGTTCTAAATCTACTCCCATCTTACACTTCTTGCATAGGCATACTAAATTCCTTATTCTTGCCTGATTCTGTTGCACCATTTCTTGGCACGTCTTCATGGTTTGGCAGATGCCGTTCCTTTTGCGTGGAATGCCCTTCCCTATCTCTGTTAACATAGTGAGCTTTACTTACCCTTGAAGACCAGCTTAAGCATCATCTCTGTGAAGACTTCTCTGACCATTCCAGGCAGAGTTAATCATTCTCTCCTTTGTGCCATTTGTACTCATCTCTGTTTTTTAAATACTTTTGGCATTTGCTATGTTGTAACTGTTTTTTTAACGAACTTGCATTCTAGACATTGAGTTTCTTTAGGTTGGAGATCATGTCTTATTCATCTTTGGTTCCCCAGTACTTAACAAAGTACATTACAAATAGTAGGTGCCCCATAAATGTTTAATGAAATAGCAAATGTTTGTCCTCTCAGTGAGTTGTCTGGTGAATACACGGTCTTGAGTATTTCTCTGTATAAAGGAATAATTTCAGTACGCTATGCTAAGTGCCACAAGAAGGGAATGTGCGAAGTACTATAGCAACCTGGAAGACAGAATGAATAGAGGTGGGAGTAGCGGAAGGTCAGAGAGAAGCCTTCACAGAAGGAGACAGAGAAATGGGAAATGGCTTTGGTGTGTACAGGAAAGAGTGACTAGTTCAAGATGTGAGGAATCCACAATGTACAGGAGTGGTAGGAGATGAGTTTGGAAAAGATGGCAGAGAATGAAGAACACTTTAGGCCCTGTTTTGGAATTTGAGCTTTAGGCTTTAGGGGTAATACTGGAAGTTTTATCTAGGAAAGCAATAAGTCGTGTTTTTGCTTTAGAAAGCTATCTCAGGCAGTTGTGTGGAAAAAGAACTAGAGGGGTATGAGGATGAAAATAGACCAGTTAGGAAGCTACTAATACAGGATTAAAAGGAGTCCTGGTGATGCAGTGGTTAAGCACTCGGCTGCTGCTGAAAGGTCGGCTGTTGGAATCCACCAGCCAGTCCACAGGAGAAAGATGTGGCAGTCGGCTTCCGTAAAGATTACAGCCTTGAAAACCATATGGGGCAGTTCTGCTCTATCCTCCAGGCTCGCTATGAGTTGGAATCAACTAGACAGCAATGGGTAATACAGGATTTCTAAAAGTTGTAGCATTTGACTGGAAGGGAAAGGATTTACACAGAGAAGGGGGAAATGGTCTTTGGGTAGAATCTGGCTCTGCCTTTCTTCTTGGTAAAAGAGCAAATTCTTTTTGCTTTCATGGTAGAATATAGTAAAACTCATGCTGTGTAAGTAATAATATGATGACTACTAGTGTAGTTCTCACTTTGCATGGTGCTACTGTGGTTGATTTCCTCTGTTCATAGTGCCCCCTAACACCGTGATAAAATAATGGTGAAATATTTTCTGCAATTTTTCAACTGGATGCTGATTTGTTTCATTTCTGCAGCAGTTTTACATAACTGCATGGATGATTACTGTGACAAAGAGTAAATATATTTATTTGTGTGTTTCTTTGTTTAAGGATTGAAAATCATTTCTTTGCCTTAGCAGCTCACCTTAACATCCACGTTCAGTCCGTTTTCTTCTTAATTCTTTCCCGGTATCAAATAGGATATTATACAGTGTGTTTGAAAATAGCCTAAAAAGAAGCTAGAAACAGTCCACCAAATAGTATCAGTCAGAACTTCACAAAGAATATGCTTCTGTCTGTGAAGTGTTTGTATTCCATTTGTCTTCCATCCCTTATCCCCCTCCCTCCCATTTTTAGGTATTTTGTCCTATTAACAAAAGTTCCTTTGATTTTTAAGACTATTGCCTTTTCTGTTCTGAAGGCAAGGTGTGTCTTAAATCATCTTCGTAACCCACACTGACTGTCACAGAGTTGGCACATAATGCTTGTTCAGATGAATGAGCAGTAAACATTATTTTCATAAAAGTGCCAAGATTTTTACTGTTAACTAGTTTCCAGAAGGATTTTCTGCATAAGAAAGCAGATTGTTTAGAAGGATTCTGTTTATTTCAGTTTAACCTCTTTTGTCCTCTGTGGTCTTAAATTATTTTCATCCTGGAGCCATTCTAGGTCATCATTAACATTTTGTCTCATTTTTTATTGTTGTTTTGTTTTTATTTGTATATTTATTTAAACCATTTATTCGTATATCTCTTTAGACTTCCACAATTTTGGTGAATATTTCCTTTCTGGAACCACTAAACCTCCTTATCCAAAATGTTTACGATGAGAACATCAGTGCCGTGCGTTCAGATCTGTGATTCTTCGGCCACAGTGATTTTGTGTCTAACCATGTCACTAAGGTCATGTCTGACCTCCATAAATATTAAGAATACTTGTATACACTGAATATTCTCTTTTTCCCTTAGTAGCCCATTAAGGATTCATTAATTTGTCTAAACCACTACATCTTGGGGAGGCACTGATGGCAAGAGGGAACATATCAGATTTATTCCGAGGGCTTTTCAAATTATACCTCCATCTCTCTCATCAAATTCTAATATGATCCTTTCCAGCACCCTTTGAGAATTATTACCAAAGAGATCACAGTTACTGATAGGTTTTAGGGTAGAATATGGTTGAAAACCACTAGTCTAAACCTCACGTGGAGCCCTGGTGGCACAGTGGTTAAGAGCTCGGCCACTAACCAGAACGTCGACAGTTGAAATCCACCAGCAGCTCCTTGGAAACCCTATGGGGCAGTTCTCCTCTGTCTTTCAGGGTTGCTATGAGTTGGAATTGACTCACCAGCAACAGATTTTTGTTTTTTTGTTATTGTTATTTAAACCTCATTTAATCTGCTTACATTATTAACTTATACTTTTGTAGAAATTTCACCAGTTTGCTATTGTATTCTTTAAAATCAGGCCTTCCTTTTTTTTGTCCTTCAGGGACCTATTTTCAGTGTCTAGAGAGATACCCTGTAGTTCAAATATTTGAAAATTTAACCAACAGCTCTACGCTAGGGTATTCATGCTCTTTGTGCACATCATGATTTCATACTCTGATGATATTTATTCCCTTTCCTTACCCACCTGTTTCCCTACCCACTGCCCCTTCCAGATCCCCAAAACCAAAAAATACGTTGCCATCGAGTCAGTTGCAACTCATAGCGACCCTAAAGGACAGAGTAGAACTACTTCATAGGGTTTACATATCCCCAAAATTATTGTAATTGCCCTTCTTTGAGTCTTTGTCTTTTTTGAGGTCAGTGATCTGAATTACAATAGTATACCAGATGTAGGTTTTACTATAGCTTTACACGTGGATCAGATACTATGTTATGTTTTATTTCTGCGGTTGTCTTTAAGATGCCATTTTATCAATATGATATTGAAAGTCTTAAGTAAATTTTGCCAGTCGCTCTTTTGATTGAATATTCTAGTGTTCACCTTGAAATTGTACCTGAAGAGAATGAAGTGCTCCTAAATAAAGCTACTAATCAATGCTTCGTACCTTCATTAAAGGTACTTAGAAATTACCAAAAAATATCCTACAGTGCAAAAGTTTTATGTGCCTGCTTGTCTTAGAGATACTTCCTTACACTGATGGCAAAGGAGCTGCACCAAGTGCTTCATTGGGCTTTTTTTATTTTTTAAACTAAGATAAGAAAAGTCTAGAATTATCTATCAGTATGAAAAAAGAAAAATACGTTTACTTCGTGCCAATACTTTTCTGAGCACTTTGCGTGTATTAACTGAGTTAATTATTCTGATTCTACAGATCACAAAACTGAGGCATAGAGCTGCAAAGTAACTTGCCCCGAGTCAACCAGATAGTAAGTGGTAGAGCCATGATTGAAATCCAGCCATTAACTCCTGGACCTACCTTCTCTGTGCTTACATATTGTTGTTGACTTTTTTTTTTTTTTTTTTTAAAGTTAGTAAGCTAGCCTATCCTATTTGCTGATATCCTTAAGTTTTCTTATTTCTTACACCCTTTCCTTCCAGTTCTATAAAGAAAGATTTTATATTACGTGCTGTATTGGTAAAAATCTCAATCTGACCTTTACTAACTCCAGTTTCTTGTCAATACTTCTCTAAAACTAGTTAACGAAGTAAGTCTTGAGATCAGAAGCTTAAAATATCATCCATACCAATGACCCAGCAGTCAAAGAGGCCCCATTTCTGCCACAAAGTATATTCAGAATAGTTCTATTTGAATTTCTGATACCTGCAAAAAAGGCTCTCGGTCTTCAGAGTACCTCAGAGAATTTGTGGATAGTTCAGTATAACCACCACCACTATTTAAAAACCTCTCAATTTTACATTTACTGCCATGGCGTATCTCCAGCCTCCTTGTGTTGGTGAGTGGTTGGTGATGATGGTGAATACCCAAGAATTCCTGTCTAAAAACCTATTCTATTTTTGCAGTGGATAGCCTGCTGAAATACACTGGCTATGGGAATGCTGCAGGACTGTTGGCGGCCAGGGGCCTCTTGGCTGGAGGAAGAGGAGATAATTGGTACTCAGAGGACGAGGACACAGATACTGAAGAATACAAAAATGCAAAACCAAAGTATAGTATCAAGTTTCTTTTCACCTAACTATGTCCGTGCCTTCGAGTTGGTTATTTGCTTTTTACTTCGTCTTTCATTTTCCAAGTGTTTCTTTTCTCTTGTGGATTTGGAGGCTTTCCGTAAATGGTTTTTTAGGGGCATTTTCATAGCTAGTGCCTAAAAGAGTGACTTTAGGTGATTGAGGAAGGATATTGCAAGAAATGTTCTGCTGCATATTTTCAGCATGCACGTTATCCTCTCCCAAGTACTGGGAGAGCTGGTGTTTTAAGATATCTGTGGGCATATACTTAAATAATATTGTCGCTATTTGCTTTCTTTCCAGAGGTTGAGATTTTATAAAGTATATCCAAGACCAAGTATTTAAGTTGGTTATTTGATGCGTCAGTGTTCTCAGAAATCTACTATACATTCTATTCTTCTGTCTTGCATGAAAGCCCTTATGAAAGTCAATAAAATCATGGCAACAAGGCACATTACTAGGAAGAGGAAAGAAGTCTGGTTCCATAGTGAATTTTAATCAGTGAACACTTAGGGAATCATCTTTTAACAGATGCATGAGCACAATGAATATGCAGACTAGAGACCCTATCAAGTCTTCTCTGAGTCAGTGCTTACAAATTGAAGACACTTATTCTTTTTTATTCCAACACAAACTGCCTCTCCTTCCGTTTCTCTCCATCCCTTTCGCCTCCTGACCCCCACTCGAGATAAATTTCTTAGTTTCCACTTGTTAGAAGTTATGAGCTCTGTTTTTTATTATTGGCCTAACAAATGTTAAAAGGTGTGCCCTTCCCTTTTGGCATTATCAGTGATGTTGACATGCTATGTTTTCTACTAACAAAATATTATGGAGTGTGGTGTCCATCATGTAGTATGGAGTTGGTGACCAAGGATAGAAAATCATTGTCTGCAAATTAGGTCCTTTAATGCCCTGTTTATATATATAAACATGATGGGTTGTCAGAAGGTAAAAGAAATGATTAGCCCCTAATCAGGCAGGATGTATATGACCTGTTTCTTGGTAAATCAGGTCTGAGTAGATCAGTGTGATTTTCAGCATCCCAGTACTGTCAACCTCAGAAGGATCGTGTAGAGTGTGTCCTAGGGGGATAAAAAGGCTTTTTGGGGAAAAGCCAGCAATGACTCTAAACAGTAAGTTCTTAAGACTGCCTCCGTTTGGATGTTATAAATTGGGTATCCCTATCTGCCAAGAGTTGGAATAGACTCAAAAGCAGTTAAGTTTTTTTTAATCAAGTGTTTGATGCTTATTAGAGGAACCATACCTTATTCTTTCTCTAATTATAGAAGTCATCATTCTAAATTAGTCTTCCTAGCTCTTGATTTTTCCATTCCATAAACTGTATTTCCATATCAGTTTACTATTTTATATCTGTCCATTTGAGACAGTAAAATATACCTTGAGATGTCTCTTACTTTTAAATGGTGGAAGTTACATTAGGCATTCATTGTGTCCCAGGGTATGGGGACTTAATCAGCTAACAAAACTTCTCATGAGTACTCAAGGTTGATATCAGTACATCTCAGTGTGTATTGTTGATTTTTGTGTGGTAGGAGACTTTCATAATGATAATAGTCATATATCTAGCAAGCCCCAGAACTCTACTAGAATAAGAAGGAACTCAAAGAAAACACAAGAACACTGGGTCTCTTCCAGTAATACGGGGAATAGAATTGTGTCCCATTATGAAAGCAATGCAAGATTTCAGAAAAGTATCTTGTTTAAATTAAGGATCATGGTGTTTGAGATTGTTTTCTTGGCTCTGTATCATAGAAAGTTTCTATACTTAAGACCTTAAATCCCTAATTGGAATCATCTTTTGCCTTTGAACCTGGCTTATACCTGTTTATAGGAATGGTGTGTTAGTCTGATCAGAATAGTTACCGTTGTGAAATCTTAGTAAATTGTGTTTCTTAAACATTGCTCATTATAATATATGAGTCACGTATAGTCACATCTTTCCCCTTCACATAGATTTGCATCTGTTTTTCTCTCAAATCACCTTCATTAAAGTGACAAAGTTTGGTGGGGTGTTTGTTACTTTAAAATACTTCTTCATATTATCCCTATCTAAGTAGTGGTGAACAAAGTACTTTGCAAGCAAGACGACTCTTTGTACTGTGGGGAATGATCCACAGAGCTCAAAGAACTTTTTCCCTAACAATTGTTATGAAGACTTTTCAAGTACCCCAGAGTTTTACCAGTCTAGTCAAGCTTATAAAGGCAGCATCTAAAAAGGATTACTTCTCTATCCCATAATTACTCTTCACCAGTTAGAGTTCCCAAGATAGTCTGATTTTCTTATGATGCATTTATTCACAACAGTTGCTAGTATTAGCAGAGGCAGAGAAATTACCCTTCATCCAGTTGGCCCTAGGCCCGTTGTCAAAAATGTGAGTGGATTCTGATTAATGCACCAAGGTAACCTGTAATCCTTCAGTGGAATCTGAAACCAAGAATTGTGCAGAGCTTACACTCAGGCTTCGGGAGACAGTTAATATCACAACAGTCCCTTTTGTGTCAAAATAAATGTATTTAATGGACTGGAAATGGCTTTCTGCAATTAGCACACTTAGACAAAATATATTCATAGAATCAAATTACATGCCACACAGGTTTCTGGTGTGTGTCTCACCAAGTTTGTTTAAAGTTTTCAGATAAACTTTGGTCCTGTATCAAAGGGAAACCAAATTTCTAAATTCTAAGTTTTATACTTGTTTCTTTTATGCCTCTGTGCATGGAGGCCCCTTGACTGTATAGGTCATATAATGTAACTAGCTGATATGGTTTGTATATCATTCCAGACATTAATTGAAAGATGTGTATCTAATGACATTTGGCTTATTTTAGACCAGGGACTTTCCGGCTGGGTTTACAGGAACCTAGGGGTCTAAAGAGGTATCTTTAAAGGGCTGCTTTTATGGAAAAGCAGGAGGAGGGGGTGGCCAAAGTGAGCAGAACTCTAGGACACCTCTTTCCATTCTTAACATCCCACACTAATTCATAATCACATCCAAAAGCTTAAAATTATTGTATTAAGCAAACTCAAAAGAGTGTTTCCTTTTTGACCATGTTTACCTCAGCAGTAGCTGTGGCAGTAGCTATATAGTTTCTTCAGCACAAGGCAAGAGACTACTTTCTTTTATTTGTCAAGGTTTTGTTACACTGCTTTAAGTCAAGTCCCATTATAGTTGTCTTCCTATACTGGGGCTATGTAAATGTCAGGATTCCTTTTTTTAAATATTTCTTGAAGCAAGTGAACCAGAAACCAGGACTTGAAGATTTTTCTCTTTTGCACAGTTTAGGCTGTGGTGGATGGTATATTTATGTATAATTGGATCTAACTAACATTATAGGAACTGGAATTTATTAGTGTAAATGAAACACAATCTGAATTTAGCTTCCTTAAAGAAAGAGTTGAAAATAAAATGATTGCCATTTCTGCCATGTATTGTTATTGTTGTTAGTTGCCTTCAAGTTGATTCCCACTTATGGCGGCCCCAAATGTGCAGAGTAGAACGGCTCCATAGCGTTTTCAATGCTGGTGACCTTTCAGAAGCAGATAGGCAGGCCTGTCTTCTGCGATGCCTCTGAGTGGGTTTGTGGGTTCCAGCTGCCAACTTTTTGGCTAGTAGTCTGGCACTTAACTGTTTGTATACTGGTTCAAAAAATTTACCAGCCTTTGTGATATGTACATCCCATCACTTTTGCACTTTGAAAATTGAGTTCTCTAATTTTTCTTTTGTATTATAATTTGGGTAAATGGCCAGCAAGAGGTCAGGTGTGTTACCTGAATTACAGTGCTGAGCTTTGCTCCAGATTTCATTTCTTACAGATTCACAACAATCCATTTTCTGTATATTTTATATCAAGGATATGGCTCTTTATCAAGCATCTCAACATAGGAAACATTTAAAAACCACAGTAACTTACAAAGACGTTTTGGAGCTTTTTTTATTTTTAATGACTAGATGAAATGCTGATGGCGTAGTGATTAAGAGCTACAGCTGCTAACCAAAAGGTCGGTAGTTCTAATCCACCAGCTGCTCCTTGGAAACCCTATGGGGCAGTTCTACTCTGTCCTGTAGGGTCACTATGAGTCGGAATTGACTCGATGGCACCGAGTTTGGTTTTTTGGTTTAGATGCAGTTTGGTATTCATGTATGTTAACAGTATGCAAATGTTTATATGGCTGCATATGATAGACATTTAGTAAATATTTGATATATAAATGAAAGAATGGCATATTATCCTAGTTCTTTCCTTGCTATTACAATGCAGAGACTTGGGTTAGGATGTGGTTTCCTAACTTACCTTACTCTTTAATACGGAATCAGTGCTATATTTATACAGTAATTCTCAAATTACTTGAGATGTTTTCACAAACTGATGTCTCTTCAAAATATTTCGTATCTGAATTAATTATAGCACACTCCATTAAGCACCCAATTGTCACATGGCTCTTTTAGTTAATGAAGGTTGCATGTAAATCTCCACAGTGACGATTTAACTGAATACAGTAACTTAAATTCTTAGATCATCTGAGACCTTCTGGGTTGCTTATTTTTCAGCAAGTGGCTCACTTATGCTAATAATAATAAATAGGTTGCGTTTGAGTGGATTCTGACTCATGGCAACCCCACGTGTGTCAGAGTAGAACTCTGCTCCATAGGGTTTTTGATGGCTGATGTTTTGGAAGTAGATTGCCAGGCATTTCTTCTGAGGCACCTCTGGGTGGAGTCGAGCCTCCAACCTTTTGGTTAGCAGCCAAGCATGTTAACCAGGGCCTCTGGTAATGATAACATCTGGCAGTTACTGAGTGCTTAATATGTGCTAGGCACTGTTGTAAGAGTGTTACTGATATTATCTAATTTAATCCTCACTTTACAGATGAGGAAACTAAAGCACAACAAGGTCAAACAACTTGTCTAGGGCACAGTTCATGAGTGGTCAGATGACCTGACTTCAGAGCTTGTGTTT